GCCGCGGACGGCCTGTCACCGTCAGGCCGGCGCGTGGCAGGCGGGGCGGGGTGGGCGGACAGGCGCAAGCCCTACCTGGTTGTAGGGAGGAGACGCGAGCCGCTCAGGACTGAGGGGGGTCTCCTCCCAGGCGTCCCGGACACACTCGAAACCGCGCCCTCCTTCCTCCCCTGCGGTCGCCACGCCCCCCTCGCCCGCACGGATCCGAGGCGCGGCAGACCCAGGAGGTTCAGCCCCGGAACCAGTGCCTCCGAGCGGCCGCCGTGGTCAGCGTCTCCGTCACCGCTGCACCAGCCCCTACTGTCCCCGGGGCCAGGCTGGAAAACATCTCCGGTCTCGGTCGGTCTCTCACCACAGCCTCCTTGCTCCCGGACAGCGTTCTCGGTGATTGGCTGCGGCGTGGACACGTGACCTCGCCGGACACGTGACTCCCGCAGGCACGGGACGGGCGGCGTGACCGCCGTGCTCCGCCCCCGGCGCTCGCCCCTCCCGTGACTCTCCCGAGAGCTGAGCTAGCGGCCGTGTCGCGGAGGCGGGACGTGGGGAGCCCAGCAGAGAGCAGCGTAGCGCTCGGTGGGGGCCCCGGCCGGAAGTCCTGGGCCCGCGGCTGGCGAGGTAGGGGAAGCGGAGGACTGCCGCGCGGTCGGGCATGGGGTCTGCAGCTACCGTCTTGCGGCCAGCATTGCTGCGGCTGTGATTGGGAACCTGAAAATGGCGGCGTTGGCGAAGGGGCTTGGCGCTGGACACTCAAAATTTTGCAGGGAGTGGGTGGAAGATCTGGAACTGGGCAAACAGCTGAAACCCGGGCCCCAGCAGGGTGGGGTGGGTCTGGGTAGTTCTGGGCCGCCCTGCACGGGCGCGGCTAGCACAGCTCCAAACCTCGGCGTGGTACCCTGTGCACCACAGAGTGCACTTGCTAAAGTTGAAGCGGTGTCTGCGCCCTGTCCTAGCCTCAGGGTCCTGTGACCTTTTAAACAGACCAGTGAAATTTTCCACCTGTGATATGGCGTCTCAAAGGGGGTGTGAGGAAATTTCACCGGCTGGGTAACAGCTTGTACTCTTCCTTCTGAGCACTGTTTATCTAGAGTGGTTTATCTGCAAGTGTGTGCCTTAACCACGTCAGTTAAATATTCCGCAGGAAACCGTCTTCTCCCTTGTAGCTAACTGTGGCCTCTAAACTGCTGTATCCATTTGTACCCTCATGAGTAGAAGTTTAAGATTGCCCTTTTTGCCCAGCGTGGTGGCGCATGCTTTATCCTAGCATTTGGAAGGCAAAGACAAGAAGAGTTCAAGACCAGCCTGTATTACGTAGTGACACCCATTCTCAAAAAGCAAATTGTATTTTCCATTACTAATAAATTGGAATTTTTGATGTCACACTTAGACTTGACAAGGAAAGCTGTGTCCCCAAAAATTACTAGATGAAAAATGAAGGGCCCAAGTTGTGCTGGCCTTGGATTCAAAAACTGCCTTTTTCCACTCTCATGCCTCTAGTCTTAAAAACTGTAAATGTCCCTAGCCCTAAACTGTGGGCTATGACTAGGCAAGCCCGGGCATGCTCAGACATGTTGTCACTTTCCTTCCCAGAAAGCTATAGATTAAACAAGCCTGGGCAAGTAAAATCCTTATAAGGCTAAAACAGAAACTCCTGGTCCCACTGGTAACAGCACATTCCAATGTCCTGAAGGCAGCCCCCACCAATAAGAACCACCTTCCCTGTACTCAGAGCATGAGAGCATCCAATCGGTTTAAAATTATGCTTGGCACACCCAGGCTTTTGTGAAACCTCCCTATAAAAAGCATGCCCAACTGTGTTTCGGGCCTCTCAGTTCAGCTTGGTGGGCGAATGCTGTAATTCTTCCTTACTGATACTGAGGGCCAGTGCTCCAGCCTGAAACGAGGCAGACTCCATTTTGGCATTTTGAGGTCTGCACGCGACTACTTGTTTAAGAATTGGATGTTCTTTAATAAATTCTACTGAATTCAAAACATTGGTGAATGGTCTCCAATTATTCTCCGACCCAACATTTTGGGGACTCATCTGGGATTCAGGACTATTGGGGACCCCTTTTCTGGGATGAGTGCTTGTCTGCCACCAGCTTCGGTAAATTTTTCTGGTCTCTGTTTTTGGTGTCCAGACAATTTGGGGCTCACTGGAGATCAGGCGGAAGTGCTATTGGTCCTGGAGCCAGAGGAGTACGAGGGGTATTCTGGCCTGGCACCTTTTGGCCAGGCACCTGACTCCATGTGCTGCGAAATCTTTTTGCCTGACGGTGGAGCGCTTCCTTCTTCAATCCTCTCCGCCTCTTTCTTGCAGTTTTGTTTTCACCATCGTGCGCTTCTCCTGTTCCTCTGGGTCTTAGTGCCTTCTCTTTTCCTATTCTTTCTTTGAGGTCTACCCCAAGATGGGTCAACAGGTTTCTTCTGAGCCTCTTAGTCTTGACCATTTTTCACATTTCAGGAAGGCAGCCTCTACGATGTCTGCACTGCACATTAAGCCCAGCCGCCTGAGGACTTTCTGCTCCCTCGAATGGCCTTCCTTTAAGGTTGGCTGGCCTTGAGAGGGCTCTTTTGACTTGTCTCTCATTTATAGGGTTCATGAAGTCGTCTTTGGGTCCCCTGGGCACCTGGACCAAATTTCTTATATCCTAGGATGGCGTTATCTGGTCACAGACCCTCCAGAATGGCTGAAACCCCATCCTCTACCCCCAGGCTCGAACGCACAGCCACCCTCCTCCCCCTGAAGGAAAAGGGGCCCAGGGACCCTTCAAGACCTCCGGTCCTTCCTCCATCAGCCCCGGAGGAAGAGGTTCTCTTTCCACCCCCATACACCTTGACGGCACCTTGGGGGGGCCAACATCCAGAGGAACCATGTGCCCCACCAACTCCCCTGGAGGAAGGGCCGGAGGACTCTCCCCCTTCCTCCCTCCTGGCCCAAGCCCACTGCACACCCTATCTCGGGGGGAAAGGGTTGCCCGAGCCCTGGTGCTGAGGGAGATTAGGCCCCCCGACACTGACGGAGTTGCCCCGTTAGCTTACTTCCCCTTTTCCACAAGTGATCTTTATAATTGGAAGCTACAAACCCCCTTCTTCACAGAGAAACCACAGGCCCTAATCAGCCTCCTCACAGTCCTTTTCACCCACCAACCTACTTGGGATGATTGTCAACAGCTTTTACAGGTCCTCTTCACTACCGAGGAGAGAGACCGGATCCGACGGGAATGCCGTTGGTCCTGGGGGAAGACGGGTGGCCCACTGACAATGAGGATGTGATAGCCACATCCTTTCCCCTTAGCCTACGAGAGGATGAGAATACAACACGGCTGAAGGTAGGGAACACCTGAAGGTCTATCGCCAGGTTCTAATGGAAGATCTCCGGGCCACCACAAGGCGCCCCACAAATTTGTCTAAGGTCAGTCAGGTGATACAGGAGAGAGGAGAAGCCCCAGGAGCTTTCTTAGAATGCCTCCTAGAGGCCTACAGGACATACACTCCTTTGGACCCAGAGTTTCCAGCCAATCAAATGGCAATTAACATGGCTTTTGTTAACCAGGCGGCCCCTGACATCAAGAAAAAGCTCCAACGCATAGAAGGATTCGGAGCCAAAAATTTGACAGAGCTAGTGGCAGTAGCCAATAACGTACAACAATAGAGACACCCCAGAAGAAAGACAAACAAAGGGCCTCGCCAAAATCCTTGCTGAAAGGGGAAAGCCACCACACACTGGGTTCCAAGCACGATTGACTCGGGGCCGCCCTCCTCTCTGGGGGAGTAGGGAGAAACTTCCCCTTAAAAAGGATCAACGTGCATATTGTAAGGAGATGGGGAATTGGAAAAATGAATGCCTCCTCAAAAGGCAGGGAACGGCCCCTAAGATCCTGGAATTGACAGGAATGGAGGACTGAGGAGGACAGGGCTCGAAGACCCTCCACCACAAGCCTTGGGTAACCTTACAGGTAGAGGGACAACCAGTTGACTTCTTGGTAGACGCAGGAGCACAATATTTGGTCCTAAAGAAACCGATGGGGAAGCTAACCAACAAGTTCACCTGGGTCCAGGGGGCTACAGGGACAGCTCAACACCCTTGGACTAAAAAATGAACAGTAGACTTAGGGAGCAAGAAGATACCCACTCCTTTATGGTGGTCCCTGAGTGTCCCTACCCCCTATTGGGCCAAGACCTATTAGCTAAAATTAAGGCTCAAATTCACTTCACGGGGAAGGAGATAACAAATACTTCTCAACACGAGGCTTATGTTCTATGCTTAAACCTAGACGAAGAGTATAGGCTGTATTCCTCCCCACCAATATCCGAACCCCCTCCTCTCCTAAGGAACCTCCAAAAGATGATATCCTGGGTATGAACGGAGAACAACCCACCTGAACTGGCTAAACAGAGACTCCAGTGGTTGTACCCCTGAAGGTGGAAGCACAACCCATCAGGATAAAACAATATCCCATGACTCTGGAGGCAAAAGCAGGGATAACAAAACATATCAACCGGCTCCTAGAGCACAGAATTCTGGTGCCTTGTTGGTCCCCATGGAATACCCCTTTATTGCCCGTTAAGAAGCCAGGGACTGAGGATTACTGGCCAGTCCAGGATTTAAGGGAAGTCAACTGGAGGATGAAGGATATCCATCCTACGGGGCCTAACCCTCACACCCTCTTGAGCTCCCTGAGACCAGACTTTAAAATATATACAGTATTGGACTTGAAAGATGCTTTTTTTAGCCTGAAACTTGCAGCCAGCAGCCAGTCACTCTTTGCCTTTGAATGGTATGATCCGGACCAAGGGCTCAGCAGCCAGCTCACCTGGACTAGGTTGCCACAAGGTGTCAAAAACTCTCCAGCTATCTTTGATGAGGCCTCCCACCCTACTATAAATCTCCAGTATGTGGATGATCTACTGATAGCAGCCCCAGACAAAGGTACTTGGGAAGAGGTAACCAGGGATTTGTTACAGATGCTAGACCAACTCAGATACAAAGTATCTGATAAGAAGGCCCAACTATGTATGGAACAGGTAACATACCTAGGATATGTCTTAAGGGATGGTCAACGCTGGCTTTCTCAAGCCAGAAAACAAATTAGCTTGGGCATCCCCACCCCAAAAACCCAGAGGCAGCTTTGGGAATTCTTGGGGTCAGCTGGCTTCTGTAGGCTCTGGATCCCTGGATTCGCAGAGATGGCCAGACCATTATATGAGGGCAGGAGAGTTCTTTCCAGTGGACTGAACAACAGGACATAGCATTCCAGACTATCAAAGAGGCTCTTCTGAAAGCCCTGGCACTGGCTCTCCCCAATATTAACAAGCCCTACCAATTGTTTGTTGATGTGAGGCTGGGCATTGGAAAGGGGGGTCCTGACTCAATAGTTGGGGCCCTGGAAGTGACCAGTGGCCTATCTGTCCAAAAGACTGGACTCAGTAGCAGCCGGATGGCCTAAATGCCTTTGTATCACAGCTGCCACAGCATTAATGGTTAAGGATGCCAACAAGCTAACACTGGGGCAGCCCCTGTCCATCACCACTCCTCATTCCATCGAAGGGGTCCTCAAAAATCCACCAGACTGATGGGTGACTAATGCCAGGTTGACCCATTACCAGGCACTGCTCCTCAACCCACCCTGCATAAGGTTCCTGCCTGGCACGTCGCTCTACCCAGCTACCCTGCTGCCAGAACCGGACACGGAAGTCATACACAATTGTGTTGAGATCCTGGACCAAGTTCATGGAATCAGACCAGGTTTGATAGATGTGCCATGGAAGGACTCAGATGACACCTTCTACGCTGACGGCAGCAGCTTCATCCGAGGAGGAACCAGGTATGCGGGGGCGGCAGTAGTCACCTTGACTGAGACAATACAGGCTTGCCGCCCTGCCACCAGGCACTTCAGCCCAAAAGGCCAAACTGATTGCCTTAACCAAGGCCTTACAATTGGCAAAGGGCAGAACTGTTAACATCTATACGGACAGTCACTACACCTTTGCCACAGCTCATGTCCACAGGGCCAATTACAAGGAGAGAGGCCTACTTAGAGCAGAGGGAAAGACTATCAAAAATAAACAGGAGATCCTGTCCTTAGTCTTTGCCCTCTGGCTACCCCCAAAGCTTGCTATTATCCACTGCCCTGGACACCAGAAGGGGGATTCTCCAGAGGCTCAAGGAAACCAGAGAGAAGACCAGGCTGCCAAGGAGGCAGCCTTACAGACTGTAAGCTTGATGATAGCCTTACCACCACCCCCCCCCACCTTGCCGGACTTACCCACTTATTCAAAGGAGGATGATGATAATTTTGCCACCTTGCCTCATACAACAATTAAGGACAGATGGAGATACACCACGGATGGTCGGATAATCCTACCTCAGGAATTGGCAACTACCCTGATCCAAGGACTCCCGTGGAACCCATCTAGGACAAAGAAAATGAAAGAACTAGTCCCATACAAGATTTTCAACCTACAGCCTCTACTAGAAGCCTGTCTAGCTAAATGCATTTCCTGCCAAGCCACTAACTCCCCCCAAAATGGACAGCCCCATGGGCAGGAGAGAAAGAGGGACTTTGCCTGGAGTTCATTGGGAAGTAGACTTCACAGAGGTAAAACCGGGCAGGTTTGGTTATCGGTATCTCCTAGTGTTTGTAGATACTTTTTCAGGATGGACAGAAGCCTTCCCCACGAGAGGGGAAACAGCCTCTACAGTAGTCAAGATTTTGGACAAACTTGTCCCCAGGTATGGCTTGCCTTCAGTTATAGGATCAGGCAATGGACCTGCATTCATTTCTGAGGTAACCCAGGGGCTATTGAAATCATTGGGGACAAATTGGAAACTTCATTGTGCTTATCCCCAGAGCTCAGGACAGGTAGAAAGAATGAATTAGACTCTTAAAGAGACCTTGACTAAATTAACCTTGGAAACTGGCAAAGACTGGGTGGGCCTCCTTTTGCTCTATATCAGGTTAGGAACAGCCTCTACATGTATGGTTTAACCCCTTATGAAATCATGTATGGGGGACCTCCCCCATTACTCCCTAAGCTACCTTCTGATGTCATAAACAATATGTCTGAATTTCAGTTTCTTAGGTCTATCCAGGTGCTACAGACGGCACAAACCAGCATCTTCCCCTTGTTGAGACACATGTATGATTTACTCCTTATCCAGCCATACGGGTTTAAGCCCGGAGACCTGGTCTGGGTAAACAGGCACCAAAAAGAGACCCTAGGACCTTGCTGGAAGGGGCCACACACCTTGATACTCGTCACCCCCACGGCTGCTAAGGTGGATGGCATCAAGACTTGGATACATCATTCTCATCTAAAACCTGTGCCCAGCAGCCGCTCAAGCAACCCGGACAAGAGATGGAGAGTGACCTGGTTACTGGACAATCCACTCAGGTTGAAACTGACAGCCGAGTCTTGAGTTTCTTCTCCTTGCTCCTTCTCTTCCCCTTCCTTTTCCTTTCCCCACTAACAGGAAACCCCCACCAACCCCATCTCCTAAAATGGGAGATCATCGACACAGCTAACTTGGAGATCCTGAACTTCACCACCAAGATGGCTCCTCTAAACACCTGGTATATCCTGACTTGACCTTCAACCTCGCAATTCTGCTTCGGCTGACATGGGATGATGCGTACATCCAAAACCACCACTTTTATGTCTGTCCCGGTAGGAACCAAAACCAGAACACAAGGGTCACCTTGGGGGGGGGAGAACATTTCTTCTGTAAATCGTGGTCGTGTCGACTGGGCATATCCGGTGGTCGGCCCCCAATCAAGGTGACTTTATAACTCTCAGTCGTGTACCAGGAAAAAGTCCAACCTGCCAAAAGCATAGACAGGCGGATGGGACAGTTGAGGGCCATTGCAACCCAGTTAGACTCGCCTTCACTCAGGAGGGCAAAAACACCTCTATTTCCTGGAAAACAGGATTACAGTGGGGGGTTCGTTTATACAGTAAGACCCGGATAGGATGGATAGACCCCGGGGGCTGTGTTCACGGTCCAGTTGACATCCTCCCCGGTGGATTCCCCTAGACAAGTCGGGCCAAACCGGGTGCTGGCACCACCGCCTCCGACTCAACATTCAGGGATGGCTAATAAAAGAACCATCAGCTCCCCTGTGACCCCAGAGCAGCATAACAACCCGGCAACAGTGCCCAAGGGTCCCCTCGAGATCATAAAGGCTTCCTTCTCAGTCCTAAATGCCTCAAATCCCCAGGCAACTGAATCCTGTTGGCTATGCTTAAATGCCAGACCACCCTTCTACGAAGGCATAGCAACCATGTGGAATTCCTCAGGCTTTTCTAACCTTTCAGATTGTAGATGGAACCCAGCTAAGAACCTCTCTATACAGTCAGTTTCAGGAAACGGGTTATACATAGGACAAGTACCCGAAACCCACCGCCATCTGTGTAACACCACCTACAGGCCCAAGAATCACACAGGGTATTTGGTCCCCCCAAATAATACTTGGTGGGCATGCTCTACCAGCCTCACTCCCTGTGTCCACTTGCAGGTTTTAAACCAAACTAAGGGATTCTGTGTTCTGGTTCAACTGCTCCCTCAGATTTCCTATCACTCAGATGATGAAATGATGGCCCTCACGGAGTCCCTAAAAGCAGGGTTAGGCCAAAAAGAGAAATCGCTACGGCGATCCTCATTTCCTCCCTCCTAACAGTCGGAATAGGGGGAGCCATCGGGATGGGTGCAAGTGCCCTAGTATTCAGGACCAAAACTACAACAGCCTTCGGATGGCTATAGATGCAGATTTGCACGAATTAGAAAAATCCGTTTCTCACAAGAGTCCCTCTCCTCCGTCACAGAGGTAGTGCTTCAAAACCAGAGGGGATCAGACTTGCTCTTTCTACAGCAGGGAAGCCTATGTTCTGCCTTAAGAGAAGAATGTTGTTTTTATGTTAATCACTTCGGGGTGGTTAAAAAATCTATGGCCCTACTAAAAAACGATTTCAGGATAGAAAATTAGAGAAAAAACTCAAGTCTTGGTATGAATCACTTTTTAACGGATCCCCCTGGTTGACCACCCTACTCTCAGCTGTGATGGGCCCACTAATAATACTTTTGCTCTTACTTACTTGTGGCCGTTGTATCTTAAATGCCCTGCTCAAGTTTATTCAAGAAAAATTGCAAACTATCCAACTGATGGTTCTGCACACCCAATACTCCCAGTTAAGCCAAAGACCAGATGCACGGGATGATATAGAAATGGTCCCACAACCCTGATTGTGCCATCTAACTGCTTACTCTGCTTCTGTACAATTGCTTGCTATGGTTTTAAAGATTTAACCCATGCCATAACTCAAGAGGGGAATAAGGGGCCCAAGTTGTGCTGGCCTTGGATTCAAAAACTGCCTTTTTCCACTCTCATGCCTCTAGTCTTTAAAACTGTAAATGTCCCTAGCCCTAAACTGTGGGCTATGACTAGGCAAGCCCGGGCATGCTCAGACATGTTGTCACTTTCCTTCCCAGAAAGCTATAGATTAAACAAGCCTGGGCAAGTTAAAATCCTTATAAGTCTAAAACAGAAACTCCTGGTCCCACTGGTAACAGCACATTCCAATGCCCTGAAGGCAGCCCCCACCAATAAGAACCACCTTCCCTGTACTCAGAGCATGAGAGCATCCAATCAGTTTAAAAGATGCTTGGCACACGCGGGCTTTTGTGAAACCTCCCTATAAAAAGCATG